CCCAATCCCCCCCTCCCCCTCCCCGCCCCGGTCCCATTGCGCTACCCAGGTGACAGCTCCACAAAGTGCCCCTAAACTAACTCCAGAACCGTGTCAGTTAGGACAAAGTGTGCGAAAGCGGTTACCAGTTTAGACCCGAGCCGCTTTCTGAGCTCGTTAGCACGCTAGTGTGTTTTAAAGAGTGTGTGTGTTGACGGAGCAGAACTTCGGAGCACCACCACCACAACACGGAGGAATGCTAATAAAAGTGCTTTGGCTCGATCTAAACGGCTCATTTCAACCAGAAACGGGTGTGTAGTAAGCCCCAGTGTATTCGTTACCTGCCGGGCCCTCTGTAAAGCATCAGCCAGGCCGTCTGACTTCAGCCCCGGCTGGTTCATCGAGGCCTGTCCCTGCACCAGCTCCGCCATCATAGCGACACCAGCTAGCCGTTAGCCTGTAGCTGTTAGCCGGATTAGCTCGCTCTGCTAGCTTTGCTGAAGCCGTACCCAGAGAGCGCAAAAAAAGGCGAGAGGTGTCACTCTGACAGATTCTTACGAACCACAAAGAAACGACCTGTTGGCAGTAGAAAACACGGAAATGTTTAAGGACCGACTGTAACGGCGTCTAACGTCCGTTGGTGTTTGAACATGAATACGTATGAAACAAAAATGCGTCTGAAATGTTCCTTCTTTTTTTTCATTTTTTGAAAAAGCATAAAAATAACAACTGTAAACATGGACAATCAAGTTTGTCATTAAACATTTATGAATGCAGGATTTATAATAAGTATTTTGTATTAATTTGTACATTTTTTTACAAAACTGACCTAATAAATTAGGTTTTTGGGTTTATTTTAATTTGTAATCATTTAATCATTTTTAATCATTAATCACAAAATAAGACGTAGCCTTACTTTCTTTTCTGCTAGTTCTGCTGCTATTTACCTATAGTTACTATAGTGTATAGTGTTGCTATAAAATGGCCGAATATATGTCTGCACTAGCTGTCTATCACCAGCATTCTAATTTTAGCGTTCTAATCATTCTCCGATATCTTAACGATTAAGCAATGAATATATTTATGACCAAAGTACACGTTCTTTCTCGGGGTCCAGTTAAGCTAAGCTAATGCTAATAACGCTCTCGTCCTGCTTATGTTGAAATCAACATACCTTTAAGGAAAACTAACGTACGGAGTAAATCGTCTGTATTTTCAAAGATCTCTGTCGCTACTCAGCTGTGGACAACCTGCTGCTCCGTTTCCGCTTCCGCGTTCAGTCACGTGGTTGAACCAGCTCCACAGGTGGACTGGTGAGTGTTTCGAGAGTAGGAAAGTCGGACTGGTAACGTTTTGATTTGATCAACCGTTTGTTTAAAGTAATTCGTTTTTCTTCTTCTGAGGTCATTGGAAAGTGTGACCTCTGATCCTTGACCTCTGGAGAAAAGACACTGGACTTACTTACTTAGCAACAGTAATTAAATATTAGTAAATAATATTTTTGTAGTGTAATTTTTGTTTGTGCTACATACCTATGTGTGTGTTTTTGTGTGGATATTTTTTAAAGAAATAGTTGGAATTTTAAAAAAAACTGTCCATGTGAGAGAAATCCCATATGGTGTAAACAAACAGGACCCCTCATTGTTCAACCTCCACACACACACACACGCACTCATACACACACGTGAGCACACACACTCGCTACGCACACACAATGGGTCTTTAATGCCACTTAAGGCTGTTAGAGTTTCCTGTTGACATCCAAAACAGGCTCTTCACAAACCATCATTTTCCACTCTGCGGACCGCTTCTAAAACAAACACACATGCACTCTCTCTCTCTCTCATACACACACACACTCAAAAGACAATGAAAGAGCAAGAAAGAATAGTTGAGTCAAATTCTTTAAATTAGATTTTTCTCCACTCTGATATTTAGCACCGGTTAGCGTTAGTTTGTTTACAAGATAAACACATTTTTTTGTAGATAAATATAATTATGAATGTTCTTGTGGATGTTATCAAAATATTATTCCGTATTCCTGTTTTCAAGAAGTTCTCATTGTGTTTCTTACATACACAAATGAAGAATTAGCATAAAATTCAGGGCATCATCGGAGGCCATTTTGTTTTTTCAGCTCCTTTGGTTGTAAAATTCCAGGACCAGAAAATGAACATGTTGGAGGCGTTATTCTTACCAGAAAAGAACAAAACAAACACAAAAAAATTTCAATCCATTGCCTTCAGTCAATACAGTTCAAAACACACACTCACGCCTTTCAGTTCACACACCATTTGACTCCAATAGTCCCCCCACCAGGCTCAGCAATGTGAAGCACACACACAGACACACACACATACATCTATATCTATCTATCTGTATCTTGGCCGTTGACAATTCATCCACAGCGACAACCTTCAACCTTCATCACCATATTTTTTTATTATTATTTTTTTTACCAAAAATAAAACATAGATACACAAACATTTTAATCATTAAATGAAGAAATATGATTTCTGTAAACATTTCAAACAAAATTTTATCTTCAAAATTCTATCTAACAAATACAATTATATCCACTTTAGCTTAAAGCTGTACCTCCCAGAATAGGCTAACGCTAAATTAATCCATATTTTATTGTTTTTTTTCTACCGGTGTTAGAATCACTAAGATGAAATATACAGTAAACCAACCAACCATACACAGTAGATTTGTTAGCCGGCAGCAATGGAACTTGTAAAATAAATAAAGTCCAAAAACAAGCAAAGCTATTGTTGTTAGCAAGGTTAGCCTAGCCCTGGTCAGGATTTGACTCTCAATGATATATGCTACATACTTCCATATCTGTAATACTCTACTTACTAGCTCACAGCTAAATCACTGCTAATACATGACGCTAAGATGCTACACACTAGGTCACATTAATAGTGTGCGTTCCTTACATCCAAGGTTTTCTTTATTTCTTGTAGTAAAGAAACGTTGACCCTCTGCTCTCCGCTTATGAGGGCAGGCGTGCTAACCGCTAAGCTATGGGACCCAAGAACAGCCACTTTAGCTCAAAGCTGTAGACCCCAGAATAGGCTAACGGTTAATGATACAAAAATGTAATTTGAATAAATTAATTGTACAAACTAATTGAAAAGTGGTTTCAACTGGGCACCACCTATAGACCAGAAGAGGAGCTACATGCTATCAAACAGAAATAACAACAGGTTTAAGCCTGTTCAACCCCGCAGCTTCAGACGGCGTTGTTCACGTTTCCACTGGAACACAGGTCTGACTGTTGAGAGGAAGCGGGCGAAGACAGACAGGTGCGTTCAGACAGACAGATGATCAGCGGTAAGTGTGAGTATTACTGCAAGCTGCTGCTTTTAGACGACTCATTACCGCGACCTCCTGTCGACTGAATCCATCACACATTACTGGCGTGGCGGAGACACGCCCACTCTCATCACAGCACATCTAAATGTAAAGAAAAAAAAACTACTTTTTTTCTGCAGGATCATCCGGTCCGCTGAGCGACAGCGACGAACGATGTCAGAGACGTCGTCCACGGTCACGTGAGACGGAACCGCGAGACGCTGTAGTCGCCAAGACTGGGTGAGAATGGCTGATGACTTCAGCATCGTTACTTCAAACAGTATAAATCAGCGGTTCTCAAACTGAGGTACGCGTACCACTGGTGGTACGTGAGTGCCCTCTAGTGGTAGGCGGGGCCTGTACAGTACGTTTCAAAAATTGAAAAAAATGTTTTATGTCTATATGTGGTCCAGACTGATGACTGGGATCCCAGCTTTTTCTAGTGCACATTCATGTCTTCAAAGTGGAAAATTACTGTTTATAAGACGATAGTGAGATCTGCTATGACGTGCGGATTAGCGACCATGGCTAAAACTGAGGTGGGAGTGACCAGGATGGACAAGATTAGAAATGACTAGGTCAATGAGATCGAGCAAAGGATGCTAATGACCACAGGGGGGCAAACAGTTTGGCTCACAGTCCAAAATAAGGTTCGAAATTTGGCTAGCAGGCTAGTTGGCTGTAGAACGCTTGGCGAAATATTTTAAATAAAATGTGCAAAAATAAGCCTAAACTTTCAAAAATCATTCGGCACATTTGATTGATCGGTCTTTACCGTACCTTTTACCATTGTTTGGCGGGCCAAAGATGAAAGCCCAGCAGGCCGTATATGGCCCACGGGCCATAGTTTGCTCAGGTCTGCTCACGGACGAAGGGAACAGTCATCGTCTTCACATTTAATTCTCACGTCTCCCATCGTCAGTTCAGACGGAAACCATTAGCGAAGCGAAGAGCCCCGGGGGTAAAGAAAGTGAGGAGCACCCGAGGTAGAGGAGGCGACGAAGAAGAATCATGTTTATCTGATAGACTGAATACAAACAGCCTGATTTCACCTCCGCTCTGAGTCACACACAAAATCTTTACCTCCTGCCGGGAAAATTCCCACCTACTCTGGCTTTTTCAATCTCTTACCCTGCGGCTGCCCGTCTCCGACATCACCGTCGCGGGCGATGACTGCGGGCAGAGCTGCCGCGCTTTTAAACTTGTCGATAAAACGCTCATCTCTGCGATTCGCTCAGCGTTGACAGTGATTAACACTAATGTTTGCTCGGTGAATCTGGATAATGAGCCGTAACAGCAGGGGGCGTCCAAACTTTTTTGGGCACGGGAGCTACTACTGAGATGACCAGGTTAAAGTAATTGACCTACACTGAAAACATATAAATGTTAATATATATATATATATATATATATAAATATATATATATATATATATTCACTCATATAAAGTGAATTTACTAATTTACTAAAGAAATATATTAATATATATTTATTTTCAATTTTAATTACTCATGATCTCCCAGCACTCCCTCTACTGGTAGATCTTGATCCTGAGTCTTGGACCCGAGGAAAAAAAATATTTGCAGAGATTTTCTGAATGTTTTTTTGTTTTGTTTATGTTTTTAGAAATAAATGATGTTTGAATATTTCCGTTAGCTAAAGGCTAACGACATAGCGTTTAATGTTTAGCGGCTTCACTGACCAGAGTTTTTTTATTTTTTATAATCATAAATCCGGCAGCTGTCAACAAACAGAGTCATTACCGTGCCGCACCGTCACATTTTCACACTTTCATCGGCCACAATGGGAAGAAAAGGACACATGAGCGTTGACGGTGTGACCTGTGACCCCCGGGGGGCAGACAGGCCCACAGACAGCTTACAGCCTCCATTCACTCACACACTTCATTTATTTCGAGTTTTAATCTAATCATCAGAGATCGGAGGAGGCGGGCGCTTTGTGTCGCGGCGGCCCGGGGGCCGCGAGGTGTCGGCGACAAAGCGTCCCATCCAAAAACATTTAGTCCGATGTTTTTGGTGTTATTCAAACCCGCGAGAG